TTTGTGATCCCCATCCTTGCAACGTGCTGTCCAAGGCAGACATGCTTGCCGCTGCCAAACCAGAACCCCCCACGCTCCATTGATTTGACATGCTCCTCCAAGACTTCCACCCATCTCTTTGGTCCAAACTCCCTGGCATCCGTGCCATAAACGTCCTTGTTCAGGTGGAAAGCCTGCAAAAAGCAGCCCACCGTGGTCCCTGCGTGAATCCAGCGGCTGCAAAGGTCGAGCCCTCCTGGCCCTATGACACGATTCATGGTACTCTGCACTGGGGTATGCAGGCGCAAGCCTTCTCGCACAATCGTCCCCAAGTATTGGAGCTTCGAGACTTCCGCCCATTCGGGCAATTGCGGTAACCGGCCCTCTGAGATAGCTAGCCGAAGCTCATTGCGAAGCCGCTGCTTAATGCGGGGACATTAGACGATGCTGCGAAGGAGGAAAGCAAGGAGATATTCCGTCGTGCCGGAGCCAGCGCCGATGATTGTGAGGGTTGCCCCTAAGACGCCGACTTGGTTGTACTCCTCTGGCGCCTGCTTGGCCATTTTGATGAACCGAGACAGCCATCAAGGCAATGGCTATCTGGGATACTTGGGGCCATTCCATGCTTACCACGCCAATATACTGGTTGATGAGGTGCTTCAAGGTTACAGCTAAAGCTTCACCAGGACAGGGCAGTAGGGTATTCAGATACTGCTCAGGCGAACAGATATCAAGAGAGAACTGTTCCGGAATCCCGGGGAGTAATCAGGTTCAGAGCCGTAAAGAACCGAGTTGGCGGGATTAAAAATGTCATTTACATATGGGAGAGTAGCATTATTTTTCAGTACGTACGCAATTGATGAGCTATACATGGATCCAGCTTATCATCGCCTTCGCGTTATCCCGCAAAGAATGCAGTGTGCAATCTCACACAATGCTACATTTCTGGGACTCATATCCACTTGGGCCGTACATATCACAGTCTAAACGCAAGGGGGCTCTATTCGGTAGTTGACACCCTGCACGGCACATTCTAGGGGTGAGATGAATCTTACTCAAATTACGGGATCGACCAAGGGAACATAGGAAGTACCAACATCGAGTAGCAAAGCAGGACATGTATGGGCTCCTGAGTCAGGTAGATATCATATGTTCCTTTTCTTAAATCTGTGCTTGTGTATAAGACTCCTCAAATTAGTTACATTAGGACAAGATATCTATAATTGATTTCTCAACCACTATCCTTCAGTGCTACACAAGTGTTGACAAAGGTTCTCGGTGTACTTTTGTTAACAATATCTTACCACGACCAAGAGCGGCACACAGTCAGGCCCCCGTCTGCTACCCCGTTGGACTATTCGACCATAACTGCTGAACTGGCTAAGTCTATTATCACAAAGTGGCTCTCTGAGTTTGAGCACCTGCTATCTAAGCGCAAGTACGATAGCCTCAAACATCTGCTCCGCGAAGATTCCTGGCTCAGGGATATACTGGTCTTCTCATGGAACCTTCGTACTATCAATGGCAGCGCGCGGATTTTAGATTTCCTCTTACAGAGTACAAATGACAAAGAGCTGGATTCCCTTTCTTGCGAGGTGTCGGGACATTTCCAGCCGTCATTGCGGAGCGTCTCTTCTGATTTAATCGCGTTGAGTGGATGTTCGACTTCGAGACGACCCTGGATAGAGGTACTGGAGCTTTTACGTCTTGTCCCTGGTTGCTCCAGTCACTGGAAAGCCTATATGGTCAGTTTCAAGCTCTAAATATTGAAGGGATTCGAGGAAAGTGCGTATAGTCGTCGGTCTCTGGGTGAGTATGGTACCGCATTGGCTTGTCCATGGTATAAAAGGCGAGAGAAGGAACTGTCTATGCCAGAAGGTCCAGTAGTTCTGCTAATTGGTGCCGGTAAACCCTCTCTTTTTTTTATTTCTATTCTCCTTCTTTTCATTCTAAAGGATCATTCAGGCAGCCTAGATTAACACCACCCCCCGTTTGTTAACCCACGCAGGACAGACGGGCTTATGCATCAGCGCGAGGCTTGGCGCTCTCGGTGTCACCAACCTTATCATCGATCGAAGCGAGAAGGTTGGGTATAGCTGGGAAAACCGTTACCGCGTAAGCGATATGCTCACCTATTAGGATCCCGCTCCTTGCTTTACTCGGCCATGTCAACTGACCGTCATGGTTTGCATAGACTCTTGTCACGCACGATCCGACACACTTTAAACATATGCCATATGTCGAGTTTCCGGCAACGTGGCCGATCCTTACCCCAAAGGACAAACTGGTGGACTTCCTTGGATTTTGTGCAACCATCATAGAATTAAATGTCTGAACGAGGACCACTACTGAGCAGACGATATTCGATCCGGCTATAGAACGTTGGACAGTTCACATTTGCAAGAGGGATTTCATGCGGATTATGCACCCTCGTCATCTAGTGCTAGCAACTGCACTCGCTGGGGAAGGGATAGCCCCTAACATTCCGGGCGATGAGTTCTTCGCCGGAGTTAAGTATCACACGGCTCAACACCACGATGCGTCATCGTTTCCCAATAATGCATCGAAGAAGGTCGTGGTGGTTGGATCGAATAATAGTGGGCATGATATCTGCGAGGCCTTCCATCAATACGGGTCTCAGGTCACGATGCTCCAGCGCGGGGGCACCCTTTCCATGCGAAACGCCCTGTCCGTCTTGCAAGGACTTTACGACGAGATCGAACCCCCCATCCATGAGGCAGATCTCTACTCAGATAGCTTTCCTATCCCCGCTCAATCCGCTCTGGGAAGGACTACCACCAAGCATCTTGCGGAACAAGACAAGGAACTTCTTGACAATCTAAACAAAGCTGGATTCAAGGTCGATTTCGGTCACGATGGGAGTGGAGTACTGCGCAAGGCTCTCACGCATGGTGAAGGATAGTACGTAGACAGTGGCTGTAGCCAATTAATTATCGATGGCAAGATCAAGATTCATCAATGTTCAGATGGGATAAAGCAATTTTTTCCCCGACAGGCCTGGTCCTATACAACGGGGTAGAGCTGGAAGCAGACATCGTGGTCTTTGATACGGGGTATCATAGAATGAAGACCACCGCACGGCAAACTCTCGCTGATGCTGTGGCGTCGGGAAGAATGGGATCTGGATGAGGAGGGTGAAATCAACGCAGTAGGTTACGGAGGCCCAATACTCGATACCATTGCCTTTCGCTCCCCCGGCCCCCTCCATTTCTGAAGGCAGGGTCTCGAACTGATGATTCTTCTTGCTGCAAGATGTGGCGTTTTAGCGGCCATCAGGACTTCTGGTACATGGGAGGCACTTTTGGATGGTGTCGGTCATTCTCCAAACTACTCGCACTGCAGATCAAGGCTACCGAGGAGAGACTGTATACCTGTCCGACCAGAAGTGAAAAAGCCATCCAGCATTCGGATTTCACTTCAGAGGGCCTTTTAGATCTTAGATAAGGATTAATAAATTGTGCCCTTGATGAGTAATATGCCTCGGTGCATAGTGTATTATAAGTAGAACAATTAGATAGAATCCTCGCTCAACTATCCATTGACGACCTCGTTCCTACCATCATTGTCGAAAACAAATAAATAATCTTATGGAAATCCGCCACTAACCGCCAGGACTTGACCGGTGATATAGCTGGAAGCATCGCCCAGAAGGAAAACAACCGCATTAGCAACCTCCTTGCAGCTCCCCACCCTACCCATGGGAATGGTACTCAGCCAGTTCTCCGCAATGCTTGCCTCAGTGTAATGTTGTCTGAGTAATGGGGTATCTGTGACACCAGGGGCGACGCAGTTGATTCTCACCCCTCGTTAGGCCCACAATGGCATGCTTACTAGCCGCATACGCTGCCATCCCTGGAAGCCCCTGCAGCACGATGGTGGAGCCAATGTTTACCATGCTGCAGCTACTGGTGCCGCTGCCTGCGCACTTTTCAACTGATCCTGGCCCTTGCTCGGGTTGACTGCGGGTAGGATCGTTAGCCCCCTTGTCCAGAACGTAGCGAAGGTACTCCGTCCCCGTGTTCCAAACCCCATCGAGATTAACCGACATAACCTTGTGGAAGTTCTCGTCGGAATCAATGACGGAGGCGCTTTGTCGGTAGACACCAGCACAGTTGACGAGGCCGTGGATGTCGGGGCACTTCTGAATGATTATCTTGATGGTCCGGCTGACACTTTCTCGCGAGCTCACATCGGTCGCCGGGTAGAAATGCAGTCGATGCTGTAGAGCTTGGGATGTTTCAGGGAACTTCGAGGAGATGTCCAGAACGTGCACCGTGGCTGACTGACGAAGGAGCTCGTTGACAATCTCTAGGCCAATTCCAGAGGCTCCACCGGTCACGATGAATGCTCGGCCGAGAAATTATTTATCTGCAAGCATTTCTACCAATTCACCCACGCATCTAAGTAATTTGTTATGCGGATTGGAAAAGGAATTGGGAGATTCTCAGATGTTAAAGAAGACTTATAGTGAATTGAGTCTATTATGAAGAACCAAAAACCTATCTCTTTGATAGTGAAGTCTTGGTTTTATAATGCTGACCACCGCTTCCGCGCCTGCCCCACCCCCTTTTCTCACTTCTTGGTTACAATGGGATTTTTAATGCCAGTGCCATGTATGAGTAGCTTGGGATTTCTAATACCGTTTCAAGAAGTCTAGGACAGCACCTGTTTGGGTGTTTTCGCCAAGCTCGCGCTCAACATCCTTCACCGAAGCCCGCGCAGCCTGCATATACAATATTATCTTTTGTCTGCAATACTGATCGCGTTCGGTCGATTCGATCAAGCCCCTTGCGCATTCCTTCAGCTCCTTATCAGTATTGCGTTGCCATAGAATGTGTTGAGGCTGCCGGTTTCCCGCATTTGAGCGAATGCTGTGAATGATGGGAACGAGAACTTTCCCAGAGTAATATCCTCGCAAAGTCCTTTGTTGGTGGTGTAGGCGCCTGACCATAGATTTTTGAAATCATCCTGGATCCGAAATATCAGGCCAATTAAGCCCACGAGCGACAGAAACTAGCTACTGCTGGATCCCAACAACTCGCGTTAGACTCATGCTTTGTGGATATGAATTTGACACAATAACCGAATCAAGCGATTGAAATACCTGGTTCGCAAGCTTTCGGCTTGCAAAGGTCGAATCGCAAGACGGAAAAGCCTACCGGTCCTGTTTGATATCATATCCAAGTACTCCTCTTCAGTGGGGCAGATAAGGGTTTCGCGCCAGAAGAGGTCCATTCCTTGCCCTCGATGGAGATTCAGTAGCTCTTCTGTGAAAATCTCGACTACCTGTGGGTTTCCGAGCTGCTGTACACACTGCTGAACTAGGAAATATGTATGATTGGCTGAGTTGATTGTTTGCGCTACACCGAAGACCTTATGGGTAACTGGCTGTCGCCGTCTCAGCAAGGACCCGTCTTCGATGTCACCTATTCTGTAGACGGTTTAGTTGTGAAAAGAAAGCAAATTCCTTTTTGGGCGGGAGGTGAGAGGGGAAAAGGGAGTAAACGAAAGAAAATATACGGAAGTTTCTTTTCACCTACAGTAGAGAAGCGGTGAGTAGCAAATTAACCGCCCTAACGATGACCTGGAGCTTCTTCTCGGGCACCTCTAGCCATTCATTGAGTGCCAAAAGCATCTTTTTTGCTTCGGAACCTTTTTCCGGTGACAGGCAGAAGATATTCCATCGGCGCCGTAATAATCTATGACGCACTCGATCATCTTTACCCAAGTCTTTCTTGTCATATTCAGAGTCTTATTCATGCCTTTTCTTAATCTAACCGACTTCTTAGATGTGTGTATATGGATATATATATATCGCCAGGGACCACCTGGTAGTACTTGGTAGTGATATGTCTTCGTCCTGTCCCCGTCCAATGTTTCACTTATTTAAGGCAGGTCGGACAAAACATCTGGGATCTGGGTTTGGGTCTCGGGTCTCAGTGTCTTCCATGACAGCGGTAGACTTCCTTCCTTTGTCATTGTGGGCAAAGACTTGCCAATCTGGAGAATGGTCTCTATTCTTTCTGGTGGTGAAGGTGATACAATAGCAGGGAGCGCTGTCATTCACATCTTTTCTATATCGAATGTCCTCCGGCCAACGAAGAGATAGATTGTTCCTCATGTTTTCCCCCTGGCTCTGTACAGGAAGGACCAACAAGTAATACTCTGTGGAGATGACATTACACTGAATTTTCCTATAATGGCAACAGAAATACGCCGAATTTTCCTATATCAGGTAACAGAACCACTGTTTGTTGGGGGGAAGGGGAAAATGTTTAGATCACGGGGCGGAAGGCATGGCGAATGACATATTGTAAATTTTTATAAACCTGATTTTCCAGATAATATAATTATCAAAAAGCTAAAATAGAGAATCCTGAAATTGTAAAGACTAGTTTAATTATGTACAGGAAGTTACGTAATTGTTAAGGAGTTAGTAGGAGACGTGATAAGATTAATTATATATAAAGATACTAGCTACTGTTCTTATCAACATGCGGGCTGGCAGAAGTACTTAGTAGAACAATAATACAGATAAAAAATAGAAAAGTACTAAGGACTTGTTCATTTAATTATAATCAGGTTAAAAAATAAAAATATAGTTTAAAATTATAAATAGAGTCCAGGAAACCACCAGATTCTTATTTTTATAGAGATCATATATATCTGGTGGTCAGCCTGGGCAGTTTTCTTCAAACTTGCACCGTGCCATGCTGCAGTATGTTGATCTAATTGTTTAAATCAAATCATACATAAGTCAACAATCATTATTATTGTGATAGAATCTACTTGTCAGGATAGAAGACCTGTCGACTAGGTAAGAAATTAATCATGAAATACTATAAATTTGTATAGTTGTGACAAAGATGGTCTATATCTCTGAATAGACTGATCCTGGGGGGATCTGTAGTCTGACAGCAAGGAATCGCTACATATCTATCATAACGGGCTGGAGTAGCTATCGATGACCTCACGACCTTCATAACCACTATAATACGTCATCCCGATAGTGCCAACCATGATAGCCTAGCTATTCTAGTACAATATAATATTTTACTAAGATTTATATTATCAGTATCTTTAATAGTATCTGGATTAATAAAAACTAGGAATACCGGACAGCCTTCTGTACAAGACTAGATTTCTAGAAATACTAATCATGCTATTTGGACTGTCAGAAGCTCCTAGTATCTTCTAGTGTTATATTAATAATGTCCTGCAAGATTATCTACATATCTTTTGTACAGTTTACCTGGATGATTGCTTATCTACAGCTGGACCAGAAGCAAACACCTCAAATATATCTGAATGGTTCTCCGGAAGCTCCTTGGGGCTGGCCTGTATATTAAGTCACCAAACTATAAGTGCGTTGTCCCTGAAACCAAATTCCTGGACATCATAGTAGGCCGTGATAGAGTCCGCATACACCCTGAAAAGATTAAAACCAAACCAACTTGTCTGTCACGGTGTAAGCCTGAAGAATACTACCCAGGCTGACTCCCAGGTATATTATTCTTATGAAGATAAAATCTGCCAGTATTCTAGATTCTGATTATAATTTAGAACTATATCTTATCCATTTTCTTATATATAATCTAACTGTAATTAAATGAACCAGTTTTTAGTATTTTCTTATTTTCTATTTATATTACTGTCTTGCTACTCCCACCAGCCCGCACCCTGACATATTTGACCGGCTGTAACAAAATTTTAAAGTCCTACTAAGACTTTACAAGCCCTTCTTTGGCCCTTAGTTGCTGCTTTGTCGATGCCCACAAATGATTCCCAAGAAGTGCGAAGTTTTGTTGCTGTGGGATTGGAAGTTGCTTTGTATGCAAGGCAGTCTCCAAAACAGGCGGGGGATTGGAACTTAATGGGCATACCGTCTATATATCATTTGATGTATTGCACTTGTTGGGTTGCCCGATACCGAGACGAAACCTCCTTGCAGAACGCGACCTGATTGTTTATGTAAGGATAAGGCAAAAAAACTAAACTCGAATTTCTATATTTTCCCCAACCCAAGGTGTAGCCTGATAAGACGCGGTGTATCCGGCCATCATGTGATGACCATATACACAGCAGTTACACTATTATAAATAGTTCTTGAATACCATGGCCTCCCCTACGGAGGGTATGGAGCTAAGGCAGTAACTTCAAGTATCTCAAGTTTCATAAAATTGATGTTTTGATATTTATATACCTTTAAAGTGTGATTTCGATGCAGAGCAAGCTCCACTAGAGAAACGAAATGACAGGAACAATTTTTAAACTATGCGCAGTTGATGCACAGACGACTTCAGTTGACGAGGTTGTGAAAATGATGAAGTACCACGGGGTTGTTATTATTCGCGGATTGATTTGTGAGGAAGTCTTGGAAAAAGTCGACAACGACATTAAACCTCATTTCCGGGACGGCTGCGACAATCCGCTCTTTCACCAAAAAACCCGAATTGTGTCCTCGTTACCCAGAAAATCCCCCGCATTCGTGGAGTTTATCGTCTGCAACCCATTCTGGATGGAGGTGTGCGATGCCCTTCTCACCTCTCACCACCAGGCTTGGATGGGCGACCAAAATTATACGTTCGACTCAAGCCCCATCTACAATTCGTCCGCGGCATTCTCTACACTGCCTGGAAATGATGCACAGCTGTTACACCGTGATGATATGAATAATCATGCGAAACGAGCAGCCATCACCCCGGAAGAATACACCACCGGACGGGACGTAATCATCACGACGTTCTTCGCCAGCACGCGCACGAAAAAGGAGAATGGGGCCACTCGGTTCATCCCGGGGCCTCATCTGCAAGATACCATGGAGAGGCCAGATGAGAGTCAAGCGGTATATGTTGAATTGGAACGGGGTGATGTCTTCATGATGCTGGGGAGTTGCTACCATGCCGCATCGGCCAACGTAACGGAGCATGAAGAACGCGTCTTGTACACTGTCTTTACGACTAACCCGCGATACCGCCAGTTTGAGAACATCTTCTTGTCACTTCCTCTCGATAAGCTGCGCAAATTTCCCCCTCGCATACAGAAACGGCTGGGATTCTGTTCCGGCAATCCTATATCTATCTGGCTCGGCCTCCGAGATATGCGGATGGTTCTCGGCCTTCCCGAGCCAAGCACTATGCAGCAACTCCAGAGAACTACGTCCAAGGATTGCAAGCTGAATAATGTTTGAGAATGGGGCATGATCACATATCTAGAAAATCACAAACATAGATGTAGGTCAATGATAGCCATTGCTAGCACTGTTTAACCAAACCCCAAACCTACGGTTTAGGTTGACTGCCTGTCACTAATGACTACTAGTATCCCGTGCGGTCATATTCTCATGACATCACAGTATCCCAGCAGCATCTCTGAAATGATCGTACAAAGATATCAAATAGTGTCTAAGGAGACACTCTTTCGCGTTCTTGATTCTGAGCGCGTATTCATGTTAATAATATGTTATTTCAAACATTATTGGCAATCAATCTAGTTACTAAATGGTGGTAGACCACTATCAACCGTTATGTAACCGCTCTGATCATATGTGCTGCTATCAGCATAGAATGATATGATACAGTAGGCAGTGGTGGTTGTTCACGCAGAGCGACCTCTATAGTATATTCCAGTAGATGGAGCTATAGAACTGAGCTGTGAATTAAACTCACTAGTGTTCATTATGTAGGTGGTATTAGTATTCAGTGTACAGGCTGTGTATTGCATTAAATATATTGCTCCTTCATATCGAAATTATAACTGTTGACGGACGCGACTCATCCAATTATGCTGCTGCTCATGTTCAAATACTCTTGCCATCCTATGGCGAGCCATAATGTCTCTCCGTTCTCGTATAGACTGTTGCCTTGGGATGGCCATTTGGGCTTTTCTTCCATTGAGAGCAAACATCTATGGCTTGGACAGCCAAGGCTGTAGAGACTCCCCGATTCCCTATGGCCTGCTTTTTAGAGGCGTAGTGATAGATAGTGCCCAGCGGCCATCCGCCGTCTGGCTGCTGCATAGAAAGCAACATCTCCAGACCCAAAGTATCCCGCATACCAACCTGATGGCAGACCAAAAGACGCATAGCCAGACTGATGGCATCAACGGGCACCCCGATGCGCTCTGCTACTCTCTCCCGTAGAAGCTGCTCAAGCTCGTTGTAAGTAGGCGTCGGGGGCGATTCAAGGCGTCGTAAGAGTCGACTGAAAAAGAAAAGAAAGGCCTCGGGACTGGGATAAAATGCGGTGCCGTGAATATAGGCGCGGCGGCGTAGGACGAGCTGGACCCAATCAAATGTGTCGGACACCTCTTCTCCCCGGCCGTACTGATAGAAGAGGCTGAGAACGTTACAGCATACCACAGGGTCAACTCGATTTTTGAAGTCGGTGAAAAATGTCTGTCCGCCAGATTCTTCTTTAGTAGACAACGCATGAACGTTCGTTGATGGGGAATGATAAAGGAGCACGAGAAGACGGAAAATTCGATAATAAAGGAAGTAAAGTCTGGACTATACCATAATAAGACCATCGTAGGTTCGGTAGTGTAGTATCTTATTCAGGACCTGGTTGGCGACCTCGGGAGTCGCATTGGTTATGGTCAGACCTAGTGAGGTAGTATCTAAATCATCGGGAAAGTTTTTCTGCGTCAAGACAGGCTTATCGATGAAATAATTCCAGGTCGTGGCATGGGGTTTGATGTCCACGAGCGTGCTGCAAGGGTCATTGCTAATAAGCACTAGAGCCTGAAAGGAGAAGACGGAGTTCGTAACTTCTCCTCAGACTTACCTGTCCCCACTGGCCTCCAGAATCATCAACTGGGCGAAGTTCTCCCGAATGAGGACTCCCGTGTGCGTAACAGAGTGCATGTTCTTCGCATTTCGCTCGAGAAATTTCCGGCCGCGCTCGGTGGGATTGCGCTCGATGTAATTGACGAGGCTCCGTTGGACGTCATCAGGTGAGTTGGCCAGCACAGCAGACATACCCATGGAGATCGCAGTGAGGACATTGTCCGTATTGTGGTCCACTACGATAACCTCTGAAGGAGCCAATTGGAGCCGATCGAGGATGTGACTAAAAAATCGCAGCTCAGGCTTTGAGATGCCCATGTCCCCGGAAATAAAAATTCCATCAAAAATGTTCCAGTCTATGGAATAGCCCTGAACCTTCTCAAAGTCCTTACAAGACATGTTGCAGGCTCCATATATTGCCAAGGTGCCACGACAATGAGCCTTTAGCCGAGCGAGACAGGCCAGAATACCATGATCCACCTGGACAGTCTTATTGATTGCAGAAAACATATCGTGAATCTGGCTCTTCGGAGTGTCAAAATCCTTAGATAGCCTTGAATAGTATTGATCAAGGCCAGCTTTGCCGCATTGGTATTCGGTTGATGCCCCGCAGCACAGTATAGATTTGTAGGTGTTTTCGGGGATCCCAACATCAACGAAGGACGATTTGAATATCACATGATTCAGCTCAACCAGGATGGCCCTGTCTGGGGAGGATGTCACGGGCACAGCAACTACCATGTTTTGTTTCAGGTACTTGGGGATAGGTTTCTCAGATGGCAGTATAAACTCGGGAGCTATCGCAAACCGCTCTCCATCCGAGGCCCTTTTATGTAGGGCAGGCAAGGGATCGACAGGTACATTTGTCAAAAATGTCACCCCTCACCACGAAGTCAAGACGAATCCTTGCCTTTACACGTACGAGTCACAAATTTCACAACCTAAAGAAGACAAAATAGTGAAGGATGAACTGTTTCTGCTCACAACACTTGCTGGGTGAGCCTCAGTCATTTCTCACGCAGGACTGAGAATGAATGTGAGTAAATTATAGGAATGCTACCAGCTAGGGTAAACGAGATAAGCTGTGCTTCGTGGTAGTTCGTCTGGGTCTACCTACAGCCCCCTCACCGCGGACTCCCGCGGACGCGAGGGAAATTTGATGGTTGCAGCCACTCTGGCCTATCTGGCTTATCTCAAGTCTTGGAATGTGTAAGCGTCGGTTCAAGCTCCTCGCTGTTCACATTTGCATGTTATGGTAAGGGGTGATATTGCACACCGGGATTCAAACCTGGTAGGGGTATTACTAGCCCTTTGAATAACCTATATAGATATGTATAATGTTCCGCCCACTGGCGGTGAATCCAAGCATACATAATGCAGGCTAATGCAAAAGTCATCAGTGGTGTCACCGGGCGAAGGCCTTCCTGATCTCCAATCAAACCCATACGCTTTACTCCATTACCTATACCCCTGAACAGGGTTGGCCGGTTACCCTATTGGTTCGTAGCATTCTCAACCTTTATCTATTGAGGGGAACGGGTGCTAAGGATGTGGGACCCGCCCTGCAAGGATAGCTCCACAACAGACATTCTTGAGCGTCCTAATAATAATAATAATAATGAAGCCAGCCAGAATTACACCATGATTTTACAGCATGCAAGACTACGTGCAGTTACGTACCCTACATCAACAAGGGGCAAAGGTGATGGTACCACCTTACCCTTCCGATTTGGATTCCTTCTCCCGCGGATCTTTCCAGGATATTAATGTCATAGCCTTTTCTCACCGCCACACAAGTTCTGAGACAGAGGAATGGAGATTCGAAAAGAAGGATTAGAGATCGGAATGGAATTGGAATTGAGAGGGGAGATAGTTCCGCCTCTACCAATTTGAGTGGATACAGGTGTGTTTCGTTACCGAGAGGCGCTGGACTCACACAGCTCAGTCAGTGCCAATTCTAGTCAGTTCTCATCACATCTTCAATTTTCTACCTCTAACGACTCAGCCTCGCAACTGCACCTTTCAAAGACTGCAGAGAAAGAAAACCATCCCATTCTCGCAAATAACGATCAAATGAACAAGGGAAACGAATGGATCATTGAAGGGAAAATGACACTCTCTGCCTTGATCTTCGTGCTTTGCATGGGAATTGCGACCTGGCTATTGGTCAGCTACTATGGAAAGAGGCAGCGTCTCCCGCCGGGGCCAGCGAAAATCCCAATCCTGGGGAATATTCACCAAATGTCCCAAGGTAACAGATTCAAATTGTACGAGCAATTTCACGAACGTCACGGGCCAATTATCTCGCTTCAGATCGGGATGGCAGATATGATTGTGCTGGGCAGCCACCGTGTGGCTCAGCGGCTCCTGGGAGATAAGGGGGCAAGATATAGCTCGCGGCCTCGAGCGGTGATGGCTGACGACTTGGCGACCAAAGGAATGAATATGGTGTTAATGCCGTATGGAGCCAAGTGGCAAACTCATAATCGAGCCACAGTGAGCCTTCTCAATTCGCGGGCTGTCGGATGTTATGAGCCCGTATTTGACCTGCAAAGCCGGCAGTTGATGTGTGAACTGCTAGCTACTAACGACTTGTCACCGCGGCTAAGGCGCTATATTGACGCCCTGGTGCTCACCCTTGCTTACGGCAAGTGGGTGCGGGAGGAAGATGAGATCCGCCTGGAGGTAGATCGTATCATTGACGTTGCAACCGAGACGCTGACGGTAGGTATATCATGGATTGACCAATTTCCTGCTCTTCTTTACCTCCCGCGTTTGGTATCGCCGTGGAAGAAAACGGGTGACCATATTCACAGAATCACTCAAAAGGTGTTCGACCAGCTATGGAAGGCGGGCTTGGAGAGCCCAAGTTGGAACTGGAGCAAGAAATTGCACCAGGCGTGCTCTTCATCATCCGGAACGCAATCTGCAGGGCTATATCTGGCTCCAGAAGAGCAGAGCTACCTGATGGGGGTACTTCTGGAAGGAGGGACCGAAACATCCACCACGACATTGAGAAACTTTTTCCTGGCTATCCTAATTCGACCAGAGTGCGCTGTCCGGGCGCAGCAAGAATTGGACGCGGTCGTAGGGAGCGCAAGAATGCCCGAGCTGGGTGACATGGAAAAGCTCCCATATTTGAACGCCATGATTCTCGAGGTTCTGCGCTGGAGCCCACCGACATACACGGCGCAGCCGCACGCTGGGAGTGAGGATGGTGAAATCGATGGCTACTACATCCCCAGCCAGACACCACTGTTGATGAACTTCCGGGCGATGACCTTGGACAAGGAGTATTATTCTGATCCAAGAAAGTTCCTGCCAGAGCGATGGCTCCAACAAGGTAAAAACAATGCTACCAAACTCCCTCTACCGGTGTTTGGGTATGGCCGCCGCGCCTGCGCTGGTCGGCTTTTTGCCTTGCGCGGCATATATTTTGCAGTGTCGCGGCTGCTATGGGCTTTCAACGTCAAGCCAGCACCCCATTTGACCGCTGATGGGCTCCAGTTTCTGGTTGACAATTATGTTGATCATGGTGCTACTCAGGAGCCACCGCCATTTGAGGTGGTCATTGAGCCTCGCAGTTCACAGCGACGGCAACATGTGGAACAGGCCTGGAAAAACACGGAGGCCATGGATTTGGATGAAATTCTGGATGAGATAGGATCGAAAGTGGACAAGTTGTAGATTCTTGGTAATTGCGCCACGCCCCAAAACTGGAAGGGGGTAATGATTGCCTTTCACCTAGTTGCTGGAGGCCCTTCTAGGCTGCCAACAGCCTTTTGGTATTCTATCCGTTTGAGATGTTCCAATGACTATCCAAAATGTTCTATGTTTAGGCTACCCCGTCAGGGTATGTCCCTGGCTCCAACCTTCACCTATGGCATACTGTTATTTGGCGTGTTCCCTCGCTTACGAAATAGGTTGTGACTATTCATAGCCGGCCTCAGAACCACATTGAGGGGCTGGTTCTCCCATACGATGTAACTCAAGGACTGGTCCCAACTATCTGATCCCGGCTGCAGGGAAATATCGAAATGCCAAAGTATTTTGGATAAGATCGTTCGCATTTCGGCATAGGCTAGGCTAGCGTGAGTGTCAGTCAAGATGACAATGTCTTCTGTCAGGAATCATATCGGTTTGTGGTTGTTGGCTGGTTATGAGGATAGGGGCGCAAACTTTTTACCAATACAGGCCCGAGGGCCGTATGAGAAGGGTTGCAGGGCATTTTTGTTGTCGGTCAGGTAGCGGCTGTCGCTATTAGGTAGCCAACGCTCTGGCAGAAAAGAGTCCGGTTCAATAAAGCTGGCGGGGCTGCGGAAGGTAGAGAACTGCGCAACGGATACCGACACCTAGGATAGAGTACCGTAAGTACGATAGTATCTTTGGGGCAGCTGAGTGTAGAGGTAGGGTTACGGGTTCAAGCAATACATACGCCAGCGGGAACAAATTGATCATTGATGACAGCGCCCCCCTCCGGGACCAATCTCGGGCCGATCCCTGGAGCCGGCGGGTATAGGCGAAGCGCCTCTTTGATCACCGCGTTGAGGTAAAGGAGTGCGCTGGTGGCCGAGAAGGATATATGACCACTATCGGCAAACGTGGTGCGCACTTCACGCACTGTTGCCTCAAGTTTGGGTGGGTTTCGGCCCAAATAGAAGCAGCAAGCAGACAGTGCCGTTGCGACGGTCTCACTACCCGCCTGAATCAGCAGCGCTGCGTTGAGCTCAATTTCAGCAACGGCCATACCCGCACCCTCCTGAAAAGAGTTGTTCTTGAGGATATATTTGAGAAAGTCTGGGCGGCTTATAGTGTTCGAAACATGCAGACGCTTATGGACACGATCACGACTTAGTTGATAATGCTCAAGGCGCTTGCGAATCAGCCGCTTCGGTTTCAGTTTATTGAAGGCAATGTTGGCTAGAGGATAGATGGCCAACGCGCGAAGGAAGGCACCTGTCTTGATACTTTTGAATATTGTCTCCACCCAAGGGTGGTACGTCGATCTGTCTAAGCAACCGAACGGCTCCCCGAATGATAGATCACCGACAATGTCAAAAGTGAGGTAGTTAAGCCAATGAACGATATTGGTAGCCCTTGGGCTCTCCGATGCTGCGTACTCGGCCAGACGCGTTATAAAGACGTCTATGTAGGCCATGATCAAGCTCTCTTGATCACGGAGTGCCTTTTCAGAGAATGCGTGGGTCAGGAGACGCTTTTGCCGGATGTGGTCTTCTTCGTTGGCGTTGATCATGCTAGTGAATTGTCCCGAAGATGCTATATAGAACTGTGGATCCTTTGTGAATGTACGTTGGCCCTTCTTGCGATGGCCGTAGATCTCCTCCCAAGCTTGAGGCGCACAGTAGGTGAGGGAGTTGGGCCGGATTCGTACCACCTCCCCGTACTGTTCATGGAGGGTGCGGATCTTTGAGTGCAGAATGCCTCGGACACACCAGCTAATGTAGGGGAGATGTGATATAGCTGCGAGTCGTGGCCCTGGGTATGAGCGCAAAGGGTGGAGGAAAAGACGATAGAAATAGCGAAATATTGTAACAATGATAACCTTTTCCAGTATTCTATTAGGGCCAGGCGAAGCTATGGGGAGTTGACTAGAAGACTGTGGGTGGTGGAGAGGACGGGCATATTTGAAGATAAGTGTGCGACTCACCGATACCAACAGCTTGGGTATTGGACCATCCATGGTAGATTAATTCTGCGTACACAAAGGAAGATTCTATACCCGGAAACGCTACGGGTCGGTATGAGCTGCTTCGATGCCCTATTTCATTATTACAGCAGGAGGGACGTCCTAACGGACGACGAGGAAGAAAAAGTATATTAACAAGACGTGGATGGCCTGGCGGAAATCATGCAAGGTTCAATAAAGCCTGCAGCTCCTTGCTGGTTGCCGCCGCATTCCGGAAATGAATCGCTAACATCCCTACCCTCTCAGCTGCCGCCACATTCTCCTCCTTATCATCAACAAAGATTCCTTCAGCAGCGGTCAATCCTGTAACATTCAAAACCCACTGGTAGAACTCAAGGTCCGGCTTTCGCATCCCCACGTAGCCAGAAGCGAAAATCCGATCGAATAAATGCCACACATATTCGGTATTGCGAAGGAGGTCAAAGTCTAGCTGCGGAATATTGGTCATCATGTATAGGCGATACCCCTGGGCCTTGAGTCGGTGTAGCAGCATTGTCATGGTAGAGTCAGGCTTGAGAGAACCGGTGGTCTGCTTAAATGTTTCTGCAAGGTCCGATGGTGGGATCGCGAAGTCGCTGCTTAACTGTCCGTAACACTGTTCGGCTGATAGCAAACCACGTTCGTATCGGTTCCATGTGGTGCTTTGCACGATGTGGGCGAGGGTCTCGTGAGTTACTTGAGTGTCTGCCTGGGGGTTCCATGTGAAGAGCACATCGCCCATGTCAAATATGACTGCCTTATACGAAGCCATGGCTCTGGATTAATATTGTGGAAAGAGAGAAGATGACAACCATCAAAGTCTGCGTCTCTGGGTGGGAAACATCTAAAGGCACTGGTAGCGTATTATTTGCAGAAGCAAGGACGACTGGGAGAAAATACGGTGTGCTTCGGAAATACTAGAGGGGGTGTGGAATCTTGGGGGTGGGGGTGGGAAGTATCTATGTACAGAACAGATGCAAGTCAGCTGCACAAACAAATGGTCACACTGGAATCTATCCGCTCCAAGAAACATCTAATAACTGCCTTGCGTTCAGCACAACCATAGATGGTTTGGCGGGTATTTGCATTCTTCTCATCCCAGCAACACCTCGAGATCCCGACGCAGGGCGTCGTAGTCGTGGAACACCACACCGTGCATTCCACAAGCTTCCGCTGCTCGAACATTCCTACACTTATCGTCAATCAGGACCACTTGCTCCGCAGCCAGGTCGATATCTCTCAGGACGTATTGATAGAAGTCGAGTTCTGGCTTCCGCATCCCTAATTCACCTGATATGTAGACGCCGTCAAAGATGGATGAACGCGACGTGATTGCAATCAGAACGTCCCGCTCCTCTTTAGGTGTATTTGTCATGCTAAAAATCCTTATATGAGGGTGACACTGCTTGATCTGTTGGATCAAGGCCAGCATATGTTGATGAACCGACAGACTCTGCCGGATATCGTCCATCGCGGTTGAGATTGCCTCTACGTCGACGTTGAATTCCGCGGCCAGCAATGCAAAGCAGACATCCCGGTCGCAAAATCCTCTCTCATAATCGTACCAAGGCTTCGAAGACATCATCGACTTAAGGGTCGGACTAGGAAGGACTGAATTGCTTGGGATAACCCAGGAGCACAGGACGTCACCGAAGTCGATGACCATGGCCCGGACTTTCTGCATTATGCTTCTGAAAATGTCTTCTTCTATTTTTATTATAAATCATTTTACCTTCAGTAGAGTTAACTTACAGGAACAGCCGTTGGGGTTTGTGAATGGGTTGTGAATAATGAAGGGTTGTAGAATGTCCCATGACTGAGATATTCGCACCTATATGATGCCCAGTTCATTGTAGCTATTGAATCCGGAAACCCATATCAAAGCTCGAGTCCACGGTGCTTATCCCTATGATTCACCCTTGCATAGTTGAGATTTGCCTTGCTTGATAAAACCTACAGGTCTGCGTTGGTTATGGTCGTAGAGTTAGAAACCCTGGATTGTGTGCTGCAGCAAGGACGATCCTCCTCCTGTAGCAGCCACCACATACAGGATCCTACAAAAAGCGGCCAGATTTCTTTTGAAAGCCAGTAACATCACATGTCACACTTAATATGTTGGCAGCAATGAATGGGCGCACGCTCAAACCTTACGTGCCCGCATCTGGGGTAATTCTACTTGAAAAAAGCTCTCGAAGTCTTGAAACCTCAGTCCCTCTGGAGGCCTACCTGAATTAATGGCAATAATGTAGCCAGTACAACAATAGTGCGTGAGGCGCGGATTGATCAAATTGGGAGAATCTCCTCTGCGTTGAGTAGCCAACAGTACGTCACTTTTGTCTACGTCGGAGAAAAGCTATTTTCACGGAATCTTGCTTTTCATGGACAGTACCTGCGGAGTGAAGAAGTTGCTGGATATGTCCTTTCTATCATCTATATTTTGGTTGGACCTATATTGCGTAGTGACTCAGGTTTCAATATCATCACGATTGCCCTTGGGCGCAAGGGCATGGCCGATCTCATTCAACACATAATCGAGATCAACATCGTCTTTCTCGGAGTTCACCGCTGCGTAGATGGCGTCTTTCTTCTGGGAATCCCGAGGTTTGATGTCCGCGCGAAAAGGCTTAGCAACGTAAAGATTTCCGTCTTGTTTCAAGTCCCATGGCCCAAGCTCGACCTTCCGACCATGCTCATACCGATGGTTAAACTGGAAAGCCCACAGCATCCGCGACATGACAATGTACGCTGAATCCATAGCTTGATATTGCCCCGTGCACTTGCGCCTCCCGTAGCCAAAGATGCCAAGCTCCTGGTCCGGTCGTTGCAGCCAGCGCTCAGGCATAAACTCCTCCGGCTCCTCCCAAAGTTCGGGGTCCAGTTCCATGGCAAATTGGTTTGCTAGAATGGTTGTCCCTTTTGGGATCGTGAAGCCATGATAGACATCATCTTGGATAACACAATGCGGCGCCCCCAGTCCCGCTACAGGACGCCACCGGATTACCTCCTTCACGTAAGCATTGATGAAGGGGAGTCGCTCCATATCATCAAAGCTAGGCAGCCGATTGCCCACAACCTTGTCTAGCTCGGCTTGAGCGCGCCGAACCGCCACCGGGTTCAGTACGGAGGCCATGAGGAAGAGCCGGAGAAGGTTGGTCATCGTATCAACACCAGCTTGGTAAATGCTACCGATCACGAATGTCAATTCATGGTCGGTCAATGATTCACTCTCTTTGAGGCTCCGTATATGCTTCACCCAATTCCAGGCCATCGTTTTCTCAGCCTCCAGGATGTGTCCTCTGTTCAAGCTGATCGTCCGGTCGTGAATCTGTTGGGCATATTTCTTCCATGGTGCCAGACAAGTTGGTGTATGTTTGAGAATGGGGAATATGTCCACTAGATAATTTCCTGCAGTGGCGGCATTTATGAATGCTTTTGATAGTGCTTCTACCTCGTGTAGACGTTGGTCATTTTGCTTGGGCAGTCGACGGCCGTATGCCATGGTGTGAATGAGGCTAGCTTGGAACCGCTGAAAGATCAGCTCGTAGTTATCCCCTTCCACAAAGTCTAGCAAAGTTTGCTGCGTTTCCAGTTCCTGAAGGCTATGATACTGTCGCGAAGCACGAACCCCCAGGATTGACATCTGCAATCGATTGTGGAGCTTCCATTTTGGTCCGTATGGTAAGAATACCGTGTGGTCACCTTTAGACATTAAGTCCAGTGCCATGACAAAATGTGGGCGCGAGCTGTATAAACGCCCACGTTTCCCCAGAAGCTCGGAGGCTGCTTCCTGACTCCCGACAAGGACAATAGTCTGACCTCCTAGCTTCAGTGTGATTAATGGTCCATAATTTCGGTGCCAGTCTCGGGACTGTCGAAGCCAAGCTTTCCCCAGCTGATGAAGGCTACCGATAATCGGCAGTGACGGTAGTGGGGACGGTGGTAGCTTCGCCGCCTGTCTGCGTGTGCGTACTACTTGTAATGTGGCTATCAAGCCCACAAGCAATAGAATAGAAATCATTGTATTCAGAAGGAAATCCCGCGTGCCGTGTGTTTGGAAGTATGGCTCCCGTTCATGCGCGGACAGGTCAGTATTTAGGTTCCAATGCACATTTCCTGGCTATTATGTTCTCACTAGGCACATTCAACAACCCCAACAATCTTCCTTTATTCAATTCAGATACGCTGGTCAGCGGGTATTTGTGGTGTAAGGGCGAAACGCGGCAGAAGGGAATGCTTATCGCGCGTCGGGGGTAGCATTCCAACTTTTGGGTTAAGGCCAGGGGCTGAGGGCCTACACAAGATCCATCAATAACGCTTTAGTCGTTAGACTACTCTTCACTGAGGGGCGGAGATAAAACCGATGCCTACTTCCTCTCATTCCGACAAAAACGCAGGGATACTACTACTACTACATCATAATCGACCTATCACAGAATCCCCTTGCAGACTATACAGGGCGACACCCGTGACTCCGTATCTGATGCGAGTTTGACGCGCACCCTACATGCATACTACTTGCCAAATTATGATCTTATGACCATTCGCACTACAGCCTAGAATAGCTCTCAATCACTCAGCGGTCGATCAAAGCGTGCAGTTCTGGTAGGACTCACTATCTCTCTCTACGTGGGTGCATATGCCCTACACATGTCCGCGGAAGTTGTTGGAATACAATTCGGAACATGCATACCCACCGCGTCTAGGCTCGCCTTACATGCCTTTGCTGCGCATCCTTCCGCGGCTGAACTTCAAGATACTAGTCGTAAAATGTTTTGGAACGGCCATCTAGATCCTGTCCGTGACGGTGATTCCTACAAAAGGCCCATCCTGTAGCCCACAGAATGCTCGCGTTCTCGTACTAAAGACTCTCCCAATATCTTTGGAGGTGGTTATTGCTGCCGAAAATGGGAAAAGCGGATATTCCACTCTCCCTCCACGATAAGGTAGCTCTCGTTACGGGTGGCGGGTCTGGTATTGGTTTCGCCGCGGCCCTTTCTTTGGCCCAGGCAGGAGCCAAGGTCGTGATAGCGGACATCAACGAGACTCGCGGGAAGGCTAGTACTCTGAAGATCAGCCAACTGGCCCATAATGTCCACTTTGTCCCCGTTGGTGTGAGCCAGTCAGCTAGTGTGCGCGAAATGATCGATACCACTGTGCGGGTCTACGGTCGTCTGGATATAGCAGTCAACAACGCTGGCATTGGCCCAGACTCAGTGGCCATCGCAAACCTGGATGAAGGCAGCTGGGATCGCTTGATCGCTACCAATCTCACTGGTGTGGCTCTTTGCTTGAAGTGGGAGTTGCAGCAGATAATCGCACAGGGTGGTGGTCATCTGCATGCACATTGCGACCACACGAGGGCATGGCAGCCTACGCCGCGACAAAGCACGGGATCCTTGGCCTCACCCGGGTAGCTGCTTTGGAGAATGGAAAACATGGCATCCGTGTCAACGCTCTGACCCCTGGAGGGATAGAGACTGAGCTTACATCAGCCTATGTGAAAGACCCGCGGTTCACGGCAGAAATGAATGCTAGAACCAGTGTTTTTGGCCGATTTGCTCAGCCCTGCGAAATTGCCCAGGTGGTAGTGTGGCTAGCGTCAGAATCCTCTTCATACATCACGGGATCGCAATACCAGTTGATGGTGGCTTTGGGCTGGCCTGATAACTGTGAAGACAGCTCTTGGTCTCATGCTCTTGTGAATTCAGTTGCAGAACCTACTGGCAGAAGTTGGGATGACGGGTGATGCTTTATTGAGCCAAAATGACGCGCTATACATGTTGCAAGTGGAAAACATAGTATAGTATAAAAGAGGCATCCTTTGCCCTTTAGTGATCGGGCTTGTTGTATGATCTAGAATTCTTCTTGGGGAGGGTTCAAGAGTTATTTGGGTGATACACATGCATATTATTCCTCCAAGATTATATCTTTCTCGGCTAACGGAGCGTAGAGGTATTACTATCTTGTGATAGGATCTACTTGTCAGGATAGAGAGCCTGTTGACTAGGTAAGGAATCGGCCACTAAATACTATAGATTCATATAATAATAATAAAGATAATCTATATCTATGAAATAAATTGATTCTTGGAGGATCAGTAGTCTAGATAAGAAAATTAATATCTTTTAAATAATTAAAAGCTGTGAGAGCCGATCAAATATGTCTTATTTAGTACATCTAGACTAGAATATGAATATGAGGAGGAAAAGAAGATAGTATAAAAAAATATAGATAAATAATAAAGATAAGTAAATAAAGTAAAATAAATAAAATAAATAAAATAAATAAAATAAATAAATAAAATAAAATAAATAAATAAAATAAAATAAATAAAATTAATAAAATTATATTATATAATTTAATTATATATCTCTGAATACTACTTTTTATTATATTATCTTTCTTACTAAGCCTGGCTACTCTCAGCCAGAAGGATATTATTATTCTTATAATTTAATATAAACTTATCAGCCTCAGCCGCGGCGAGCTACTACGGCAGTTATTGAAAAAGACCAGAATAAATAAAATTCTTTACATAATAATTTTATAATTAGAAAATCGTATTTTTAAAATTTTTTGATATTTCTAATAAAATATTATAATATACTTGTCAAACCCTAGGATCGCTTCCCTGTCCCAGTTAGCTTAGCCCCGTTGGTATACGTACCGCCGAACTACGTCGAGATGGTATCGACTGATGATTATCTGAGAGATAACTAGATTATAGATAAAAGAAGAGAAATAAGACTGAATAATACTATACAATTATTTATAAGTAAATACAAATAAGCATTCTGTAGCTAAGCTTCTAAATATATAATTACTTAAAGATAATTATATTAAGTATAAAAAATAGAATTAATTAAATATATAAAAGAGTGTTTTTATATATTCTATTCTTTGTATATTATATTATATACCATCGGGTCTGCTGTATACTAGTATAATAGTTATAGACCATGATGGTATATCATATACTATGTATTAGTTCATATATCATAATCACGTGGTGTGAGGCTGTTCCGGGCGTTGTAATAGCAATTTCTAATTATATTAAATAATAGTTTAGTTTTGTCTGAGTGCTGTTCTTATCAGTGCTTTCTGCCTGGCGAGTCCGCCTTACTAGTAGGTTAACTAGCACGGGTCCGTAACAATACTAATCTAATTAAATTTCTGTTATATATACTAACTAAATTTAGAAGTAAATCTTGTTATCTTTAATTACTTATAACTCTATAATATAGTTAATGAGTAGAATAAAAATAACATTATTATATTTAAGATATTTAAGATATAAAGTATTATGAAATAATACTAGTTATAAATTGTTGGAACGTAATCTCAGTAGATTACTAGTAGTCGAGGTCACGTGACCCGAACTCCGTAACTTCAACTGCTCCTCCGAGCGCGCCTAGATAGCGAAGAATCAAGCGTTTTCAACGACTTCAGTATTGACCTAAAACGTCGTTTCAACATAAATTTATTAGATAACATTAAACTGTTGTCCCGTTGTGAAGATTTCCCTACTAGATTTCAGAGTAACATTCCCCTGCCCAGGATAGTGCCGTATCTGTAAGGGCCGCTTACCTTCTTTTCCGGTGAACCATGCTCCATTTGCATTTGTGGAAGAAACTAAGAGCGCGATGCTGAATACTATGTCCATAGTGCTTTGAGTGGCGGCAAACGAACTCCATTTCCTCCGAGGTCTTTTGGGTGTTATTGTTGGATATTCTCCTTACTTCGATACTTAATACTTCATACCAAGTTCAAGCCGAGAGAATGTCACAGGGACCAGTTTGGTTCTCAGATGGTATTCGAAGTTGTGTTCTAGTGCGCTGGCTTCTTACGGTCGGGATCGTATGTGCCGTGCGCCGTCAGGTCACAGATCCCTGCATGCAGCTACCAATGGCTTTCGCTGATACTATGCATGGGTGCCGTGAGAATTGGGTGACTGTTGGGCAGAAACTTAAAAAGCGCAAGACCCTCTACTGATCTTCGGGGTGACCTTTCGAAAAACAGCAAGTCAAGCACACGCGCTGACTGCAATTTTGATATTCGGAATGCAGAAATCAGTATCTTTTTCCTGTCCAGGATGCGACAGAGAAGGGTTCCGCAGTTTGGTGGAGGCTCAGAAGCACTTTGAGAAGCAATCTCACTCTGTGCGGTGTACCGTCTGCCAAAAGGCGTTCGGCAGTGGCATGGCAGTCATACAGCATTATCAAAAGCACGTCAAAGCTCGGGAAGCTCCAACCAATACGAAAAAGCCCATTCAGGAGAGAAAGGCTTGTAACCAGTATTCAGCAGGTCCGAAAATAACATCGCCATCACCCCTCGGAAATGGCCAAATGTACTTTCAAGAAACTCTACCGACAGCTGTCGGGAATATAATGCATTTCGGAGAGGAGCGTGATCCGATCAACTTGCCCTTTCAATTGCCTTTGATCGCACCTGGTGTAACTGATGCTAATGGTAACAACCCTCTCAATCTTTGCTCCCTTTTGCAGTCGCCCATGCGACTAAGTGATC